AGAGAGAGAGAGAGGAGAAAAAGGAGGAGAAGAAGGGGGAAAGGGAGACAGAGTCAGGGATGGGGAAGAGAGAGAGACAGAGAGAAAGAGAGAAGAAAAAGGAGGAGAGGAAGGGGGAGGAGAAGGAGGGGGAAAGGGAGACAGAGTCAGGGATGGGGAAGAGAGAGAGAGAGAGAGAGAAAGGAGCTTTAGGCACATCAAGAGAACTCTGCAAACAGAAAGGACCTCAGAGGCCAACCATCCACCGCTTCATTTCTCACATGGACAAACTGAGGCCTGGAAGGGGGTCTGGGCTGTCCGGGATCACACGCTGCATCTGTGCTGGAGGAGAGGAGACCCTGGGGGCTCTCCCCACCCAACATCTCTGCTCCTGCTATCAGGAAAGAGCCGCCTTGGCAGAGGTGAGGGACTGAGGGGCAGAGGCTGCTCTGCCGGGCTCCTCAGAACCTCCCTTCAGGCTCCTCGATTCTGTCTCACACCCAGGAGCCCGCAGCCCTGCCCTCTGCCCTCTCAGCAACTCCCTTCTCACGGCTGGCTTAGGGACCGACTGTCCAGGACACATCTGGGAAGGAGAGTCAGTCGAGAGGGCCCGCCTTACCTTGGACCTGTGTCTGGTACACAATGAAGTAGCTGGGGGTGCCACAGCTCTCGAACTCCTCGGCGCTGCACTTCTGCGCGCACAGCTGCTCATCCTCCCGGTCATGAAGAGGGAACCGTGTGGTGGGAAAGCCACAGTGGCAAGCGGTTCCAGCGAGGGCTGCCAGGGGGAACTCCTGGGCGGGAGAGGAGAGCAAGAGTCACCGGAAGTCTCGGTGCAGCCCAAACATCCTCCTTCCCCGACATCCGGTGGCTTCCCGTCCCGTCCTGGCGGCTTTACTCTATCCTGGTTCTGTGTAGCTTGCTTATCTGATCCCATACCTGAAATAAGATTTCAGGAGAGACTTGGTATTCGTAACCAGGAAGGGCAGCGAAGAAGCAGGCGCCCGCACATTCCCAGGCAGCAAAAGGAGACCCACAGAGTGTGCCCACCCTCCCTATGTGCTGGCTCCACAATGAGGTAAAAAACATGGCAGAAAAGTACTATGTGGGCATTGAACACCTGGACCGTTTGTGTTCCCTCAGTGATCACCATGGCAACGCCTCACATAGCATTAGTACCAAATCGGGGGTTAGAAGTCACCTAGCGCTGGTATGTGCAGAACCCTGCTGGCTCAGTAAGTCCCTTGAGTGTTCTAGAATCCAGGTAGCCATCCAGGACACACTGGAGCCCAACCCCAGTGACACTGGGTAGCTAGTGTTGCTAAATTCTCCCCAGTCCCTTTCCCCTGCTGAGCGTGAGCCTGGGGTCAGTGCCATCTTCTCCAGCAAAAGGGATTCATTGAGGGCCACGGTAGACTGTGTCAGACTGTGCTGATGCTGACGCCCCCCACCGGCACCCCCAGAGTGTGTCAGAGAGCCAAGAGGGGCATGCCCCTGTCTGTCTTGGCTCTGTCTTTTCCGTGACAATGGCACACAGCACACGTCCTGAGAAGCTCTGTCGAAATCTGTCCTGTAAATTAACAGCCGACTGGACATCCACGTGCACACCACAGTGCACACGCAGAGGCCAGAGGACAACTTGCAGAAACCAGTTTCCTCCCTCTCTACCATGTGGGTCTTGGGAATCAAACTCGGGTCTTCAGGCCTGGTGGCAAGCCATCCTTCCCTCTAAACCATCTTGCTAGCCCAAGATGTGCCTTTAAAACCAAAAGGATAGAGATGTACTGTGGGCATAACAGAGCTGCCTCGGGATCTTTCCTTTCCCCTCTGGGTAGCCAGGTTATCTCTATCCTGTTGGCTTTTAAACCAGACACGGCCCGGATGTCCCCCCCGCCGCCTCCCCTGGGTCCAGGAAGACTCAAGAGAGAAAATCGTACACCCAGTGAGCTCTATCCCCGAAGGTCTTACTTCTAAGATATTCTATAGGAGCTTCAGAGAGAAAAGTGGCACACAGCGGGGTCCCACTAGGCCACCCTGGGCTACTACTGATGATGTCACTTAACCGGGAGAGTTTATTATCCTCTTCAGCTATTGTCAGCCTCATACTCCCTCACCGTTAGACATAAGCAGGGCAACTCCTCCTCTGTGGTTCCACTGTCTTGAATCCATGAACCAACACACTATTATGTCATAGGTCTATGCCCCATGACATACTATGATCTCATCATAGGTCACGAAATGTGGCCCCATCTGTTCCGACTGAGTCACCCTGCCCCTGCGCCCCGAGTGCTGTGGACAGCCCCAGCTTACCTTCTCTGTGCAGAGGTCCACACACTTGTCCACTGACATGTTTGGCATGGCAGCTGTCACAGGCAAGGCCAGGGAGAGGTTGTTGGGTCGGCGGAAGCAGCCCCTGAACACCGCACTTCCATCTGAAGAACCAGAGGGAGAACAACCTGTCAGAACCAGCTAAGGCTAATCTGAGTATCAACCTGACTGCATCTGGAACCGATTAAAATTCAAGTAGCTGGGCGAGCTTGCAAGAGGTTTTCCTGATTTGATCATCTTGAGGTAGGAAGATCCACCCTAAATCTGGGTGTACTGTCTGGTTTTGTGTGTCAACTTGACACAAGCTGGAGTTATCACAGAGAAAGGAGCCTCCCTTGAGGAAATGCCTCCATGAGATCCAGCTGTAAGGCATTTTCTCAATTAGTGATCAAGGATGGGAGGGCCCATTGTGGGTGGGGCCATCCCTGGGCTGGTGGTCCTGGGTTCTATAAGAAACCAGACTGAGCAAGCCAGGGGAAGCAAGCCAGCAAGCAGCACACCTCCTTGGCCTCTGCATCAGCTCCTGCCTCCAGGTTCCTGCCCTGTGTCAGTTTCAGTCCTGACTTCCTTTAGTGATGAACAGCAATGTGGAAGTGTAAGCTGAATAAACCCTTTCCTCCCCGGCTTGCTTCTTGGTCATGATATCTTGTGCAGGAATACAAACCTGGACTAAGACACTGGGCCACACCTCTGGTATCAGCCCTCATAAAAGAACATGGAGAAGGAAGCTTTTGCTCTTTGCCTGTTTGCCCTTCACTCTCACTGGCAAGCTCATCCATCCTGCTGCTGAGACATTCTCTCACTGTTATCAGAATCTACTTCTTCAGAGTCTCAATGTAGACCAAAGACCAGCAGCTCTCCAGGAATTCTCTGGGACTCCAGAGCTAGACTGGGATTGTTTGTACCCAGCTTCATGTATTGAACAACTACCATATCATTAGCTCTTCTGTCAGGATACAGCCATTGTTGGACTACTTGGACCACAGCCAGTCAGCCACTAAGGCACTCTAATAAATCCCCTCTTCTGGAAAGAAGATCTAGAAAGTTGAGGACCAGAGAAGGCAGGATTCGCCTGAGGTCACACAGCATGCCAAAGCAGAGAGGAAAAGAACAAGCCTGTTCCCAGGAATGAGCTAATATCTCAAGAAAGTCTCCTCTGCCCCATCGTCTGTGCCAGTAATTTTCTCAATTACTGATCAAGGGAGGAGGGCCCACTGTGGGTGGAGCCACCCCTAGGCTGGTGGTCTTGGTTTCTGTAAGAAAGCAAGTCATTGGAAGCAAGCCAGTAAGCAGCACCCCTCCATGGCCTCTGCATCAGCTCCTGCCTCCAGGCTCCTGCCCTGTGTGAGTTCCTGTCCTGACTTCCTTTGGTGATGAACAGTGATATGGAAGTGTAAGCCGAATAAACCCTTTCCTCAGGTGACTGAGATGGGCTCTCTGTGGGCCATCACACCCTTCTTTCTCTTAGCATCCCTGTGCCTCATTCATAAAACACAGTGTACAGCCGTTTCCAGATTCTCATCAGAAGGACCAGTGCTGTTGGATCACAGGAAGCAAAGCTCACAGCAGCATCCTAGTATATGGTCCTTCCAATCCCAGGGTCTGTCCCTGCGCTGGGCTTTAGGGGACAGTTCCTAGACCTCAGAAATCTCTGCTGACCGACCCAAGACAGACCCCTATGGGCTGCAAGAGCTGATATTTTGTCAGGGGATGGGGAGGGGGAACTCTCTTTAAGATCCTTAACCTGGAAATGAAGTTTTTTAGTAGAAAACCTGGGTCCCACTGCCGTGTCCTCAAGAGAAGTCACCCCTGAAGAACACACGTGGAACCCTGGTCTGAGGCTGGCTTTGGGGAAGCAGAACCTGAAGCCAACGTGTAGTTGAAAGCTCTGGGATGGGAAATGCATTACTCTGGCTGGTCCAGGACGGTGGTGAGCATACCTTTCTTTTTCCCTTCTAAAAACTCTTTTTAAAATCTTCTTCACAAGAAATAAACATTTCTTTTTGTAGCTAGGAAAAGTAGTACATGGTCCCTTGGGTTTGTTGCAAGCTTCATGAAGCATATTTAAAATCTCATATCTTTGCTTCCTTGTATTGCTGGGAACCAAACTTAGCTCAGGACCATAGAGCAGGCAAGCACTCTACCACTGAGCTATGCCCCTAGCCCTATATTGTTCAGATCTTGAGTAGAATGTAACTTCCTAGAGGCACAGTCACAACAAATAATCTAAATCCCAAGTACAGGAGCAGGGGCAAGTGGTGCTTGCATAGTCCCTACTGTGTGCCAGCACAGTCCCTACTGTGTGCCAGCACCCTGATGAGCATCTTAAGAGATACCAGCATGACCTACTTTATTAAAAACTCTCTGCGAGGGGTCTAGTGAGGCAGCTTGGTCGGTAGGGAGCTTGCCTAGCATGTACTGAACCCGGTTTCATCCCCAGCGCCAAATAAACTAGGCACGGGGACAGAAGACTGTAATCCAGTGCTCGGGCCGTAGAGGCAGCTAGATCAGAAGTTCAAGGCCATCCTCGGCTATACGGTGAATTTGAGGCCAGCCTGGGCTATAGAACAAAGCAACCCCCCCCAAAGCCCAAAAGAGGCAAACTCACTGAGGAAGTTCGATGGTAAACTAAGAACCCGCTCTTGGCAGAGACGCCATATTCTGTCGCAGGTGTTCTCAGAAACAAACTATTTGGCCTCAGAAAAGTATAAGGGAACTACGGAGGACCCAGGCCTCCAGCTTTGCAGATCTGGGAGTGTCATCGTGCAGATCCATGTCCCTGCGCGTGCAGAGACACACCTGCTTAAGCTTATGGGCTGGAAAAGGGTGGAGAGTTACTTCCATGCAGAGGGCGGAATGTTCATGAATAGCGTGTGTGAGTTTTAGGTCCCTGAGCTGTTTACACTGGCGCTGGTCCACATTTGGGCTTGCAGGATGGTTGCTACATCATGCTGGGGCATATGCTGTCTCAGATATCCCTGTCTCTGGCCCTATTTGGTAGGGGAGGGGCTGGAGGCCCCAATGTTCTTATTGGGAGCGAGATGAAGGAGCTGTGAGCTGTGGCGGGTCTCCCTCCTCGCCTGCTGCTCGGAGACAGAGAACAAGGGGAGAGAGTCCCAGCCTGGACATCAGGAATCCAGACTGCGAAGGGCAGGGAGAGCGTGAGGATTCTGTAGGCCAGTGCTCGGAGAGGAATCTTCTTTGATGTTTAGCAGATGCTGATGAACGGAGCCCAGGGAGGAGGGCTGAAGAGAGAGCCCTGATTTCAGACAAGTCGACGTCTGCAGAGTCTCAAGGAGCCAGAGATAGCATCTGGGGAGCAGGTGCAGGGAGCTGCAGGCTGGGGGTTGGCTCTCGGAGCAGCCAGTTACCAGGACATAGGATCTTCCTGCTCAGAGCCCCAGTGAAAGAGTGGGGAGCCTCAGCAGAGCCTTCTGAGTCAGCAAGGAGAGCGTGCAGCCGACTCTCGGGAGCCTGGCAGAGGCTACTTCTCTCTTTAAGTGGCTGTCCTTTATAGCTGAGTCAGCTGGACACTTAACATGCCAATGGTGGCTGAGATCTCTGGTCTTCCAACTGTCCCCTTGCCCCCATCTTTGATATGGGTCACGCGACCATCTGCCTATTGTCTCTTATATTTGAAAATAAAAGTGAGGTGACCACTGACTCCCTTGGCCTCTCTGTGGCATAAAAATATTTGGATTTCCAAAGCACTAGGATTGATGTTTTCTTGTTGAAAAAAAAAAAATCTCTGGAGCCCAGTGCAAGGATCAACCTTAAGCCAGATGGACCGGGTGCGGATGCTTGACGTATCCGATTTAGCAGATTTAGATGGTCATCTTCAGTTTTCACTGAGCCTCAGTCTTCCTCATCTGTGAATGGGGTTTCCTCCTTCACAAGTGCGCCTAGAGGCTCAGTACTAGGCAACAGCTACTGTCAGTGTCCCTTTAATATACTATACAGGCCATCCCAGGACAAGATGAGGGTGACCAGACACTATGTCTTAGTGTTGAGAAGGTGATCTCCTCAGGAGCCAACCTCAGCCAAACATGGGGTAGAATAAATACTCCAGCACTCTGCTCCTCGGGCTGGTCACCTCTGAAGCCTATGTAGTGTCCTACATAGAGAGTTCCAGAGGGCCTAGGGGACGTCTTCACGAGTGGCTGGCTTGATGGAGGACTGGCTACTGGTTGCTTCTTGTTCTGGTACTCCATTTCCCAGCAGAGGCACTGTAGGATCAGCTCTGGGGAAACAGTGTAAGAAGAACTCTTAAGGAAGATGTCTTATAAAGGTCAGGGTCCCAGCCTTTCGCTGGCCGCAGATTGTGACGGTTCCCAGTCACGTTCCAATGGTGGTGGCCGTGACAGTGGCTCTCTGTGTGCATCTTCATGTTGGGCATGCTTCATTTTCCTTCACCACAACCTGTGAGGTCATCAGTACCGTTACCCCGTTTTACAGGCAGAGAGCTCAAGACATGAAAGGACCCTCATCTCCAGGTCCCACAGCCCCAGGGAGTAGAGCTAGCCTTTGTCTCTGGTCTTCTTGTACCTCAAAGGTACTTCTCCTTCCTTGGCTTCTCCACATGAGCTCTAAGGTGAGGTTCCGGAGACCCCATGCCAGCCACACTTATTTCCCAGAATTCTTCTCGGGTACCGCAGCAGGATACTGGGACGGTTGCCCGAAGCCCGTGCCCCACATTTTGACAACGTCAGCTCTTACTGGCAGTCTAGCAGGGGCGTGCGTGACCCAGTAGCTTGAACTTCTTTATGGAATGACTTGAGAAGAGCAATGGTGTACTGACACTCGTTGCTAAGGGCAGTTGTGAAAGCCGGAAGCCCTGTCACTACATTGTTCTGTAAATATCACTGGGAATCAGCTCAGAGGCAGACACAGAGGAGTCCTCCTTGGTCTAAAAGAGGACATCAACCCTTGGGTAATTAGGCCAAGTTCTACTGCACTGAAGATCCTGGCTAGGGGATACTGCTAGCTGGAAGCTATTCTCAGCCAATGAACTACCTACAGTCAGAGACACACTGAATTACACAAAGAGCCTCCATGACCAGAGGTGGGGTGGGTTCAAGGTAGCTATTTTTAGACATCATCAGAAGGTCCTGTGAATGTTGGAAATCCAAGTAGCTTGAACTAGATAGTTCTCAGAGCAAACTTTGAGATTCCGTCAGGAGCACCGCACACCCTGCTGACGCTGTCTAGGCTGTCACTTGCTTGGTGGCCCCAGTGGTGTTTAGAGTTATCCCCAATTTATAGACAATGATCACAGACTCAGAATGGACCTGCAGCCTGGCCAGTATAGCAAAGGAATAAAAATAGGGGTGGGAAAATCTACACCACTCCCCGTGTCTGCCTGTGTCGTGAATTTTTTGGGGAAGCACAAGCTGAGTCCACCTGTTACGATTGGTCCGGTCTCCCAGGACTGTGAGATTCACCGTTGCCATATGCTAGCTTCTGGCAGAGAAGCAGCTGACAAGCTCCATCCAAAGAGACATGAGTTTCCTGGACAAGCCGGAGATAGGCGTGGAAGGAAGTACCTATGAGCAGAAAGCACAAAAGGAACAGAATCCTTCTTCCAACTCTCAGAGATGAGAATCTCCAGTGCTAACAGTCATGGGTAGAATTTACTACCCAGACTGGGATGTATTCGCTGGGTATCTTCAGGTTTGTTCTGAATTCTATAACGCCTCATCAGGGTAGAAGAGAGGGTAAAGGTCAGAGTAGCTACCAGGGGGAGGATGAAGAAGCAGCCCTAAGAAGGGGAGAGAGGAAGGAGCTGAGGGAGGGAAAATGGGTTAGCTCAGGGATCGCTGGGTGGCAGTCATGAGATCTGAATTGCACCCGAGGGCAATCAGCACCATGGACAGCCGCCCAAGGAGGCTGAGGAAACTTCCTGCACAGCTAGCTCTCTGGGTCTTGTCATCCCAAATCCTGCAAGCATCCTCAGGCAGACACACTCTCTTGTGACCTCCTATAAAATCACAATGTTTCCACCACCAGCTGCTCTGTCCCTTGGGGGAAGAAAGCCAAACTCAACGGTACATTTAGCAAACTCTGTGACAAATGTAATCTCACCAAGAAGGCAGTCCATTTCCTTGCTTCTTTTGTACCAAGCGTGAATCTGTGTGCCCTGGAGTCTGTGTCAAGGCAAGAAGGCAAAGCACCGACAGAGACTGCCCTAGCACACCTCTGAATGTCTTCATTACCACAGGAGCAAGAGACCTCCTCACGGGCCCACCAGGGTGGTGGTCATGAAATAAATGCCCTCATAGGACCTTCTGATCAGAAGTGTTCTCTGTGAGTTCTCAAGGGATGCTGCAAATGGGGTCTTGTTTCTGCCTTCTTCATTTCCTGGGAAGGGTGTTCATGTCATCTATGTTTGCCGAGAGCCAGTGACTTAGACGACACCTCTCTGAGTCGTTGACAGCTAATGCAGATCCCAGGTATGAGAGTCAAGGGTGCTTTGGAGTCTGGGCGAAGGCAGCAGAGATGACATAAACCTTAGAATCAGGAGACAGGAAAGGGGATCAGAGGTCAGGGGTCAAGGGTCAGGGGAAGAAGAAGTCAGGCTGAAGCCGAGTCCTTGCAGAAGTGGAGATGTTCCAACTGGGTGTCAAAACCCGTTTCGAGCTACCTTCAGTTCCCAGAAGGCACCAGGGCATCAGGATGCTGTGCCTGTTACGTCCAATCTGCATCCAGGCTTTCCTATGTCCAGCTCCTCTTGTCTAGATTTCCCCGGGTTCTTTGGCAATGTGTCTCAAGTCTGGGTGTCCTTCCCTTAATAAAGGCAAAGCTTAATCCATCGTTTGAGGACCCCACCAAACGCCCTCTCTTCTGCGGTGTCTCCCAGGGTGTTCCAAGAAGCCGCCTCTGCTCCCTGCACCTCAGTTTCTACAAGTTTATAATGGAGACAGGAGGAAGCTGCTTCCAACGAGGCATCTGCTGAATCTGGAAGTTGCTTCTGGCTGAAGGACGGTCTCTTGCTCACCTCAACCCTCCTGAGAAGAGGATTCTCCTCTTGTGTCATCTTCCTTGGCTCTCCCCCAAGGCTGAATCAACCGTGCTGGCATCCAACTGTTACCCTGGGATTGTGGCCTTGGAAGAGAGGCTGCACCTCCTGCATCGAATCTACACAAGAGTACACAGTGCCCTGCTTCAGAATCTCCACATACCACGCTGCTGACTGGGAGCCCAGCAGGCATCTCGGCTGGACATCTGGTCAGCTGTCTGCCTTCTTACCCATACCACCTCCACTCTAGTCTCAGGGGAAGCAGCCTCGAGGCTCATAATAAGGCTTGGCTTTCCTTTAGCTCTCCGGTAAAAGGCTTCATGACTTGTACACCACACTGGAAACATCTCTGGGGGCCTTAGAGCAGTGGTTCTCAACATGTGGGTCTTGACCCCTTTGGGGAATATAATGACCCTTTCCCGGGAGGGGGTCACATATCACATATCCTGCATAACAGACAGTTCCATTATGATTCATAACAGCAGCAAAGTTACAGTTATAAAGTAGCAATGAAAATGATTTTACGGTTCGGGGGTCACCCTAACAGGAGGGACTGTGTTCAAAGGGTCACAGCATTAGGAAGGCTGAGAATCACTGACCTAGAGGGTGCACAGTTCCTCAGTAGAAACAGCTCCATCTCCTTCTGGACATTGCATAACACAAAAAACTTTTCTCGGGCAGTAAGGTGCTCCACCCGGAGTGCCACAGAGATTCGCAGACTGAGCAGGAGGAAGCGTCCCTGCCTCTCAGTCCTCCCTACGTATGTAAAGACCACCTCACACAGAAGATCCCACCATCTGTGTGTGTCACACACCACATCCAGGTGAGAAGCCTTTGATTGAAGCGTAACACCAGAGAACCAGAAGGAGGGGGCCTCTCATTATCCGGTTAGCAAGACACAACGCCTAAATCTCTCCCACCAGCCCGGTTGCATCCACAGTCGGCAGCCATGTCCTGTCAGTGCCCTCGATGCTTGAGGCCGTCACCTCAGACAGCCGAAGTGCCACCATTATCAGCACTTGAATATCAGTACAAATGAGGTCAGTCATGAGGATGGGCAATCTGCAATTTAGTTAGAACCACGGGTCAGAATCAAGCCCGAGGCGCTGGCTTTCTCCAACTGAGGTTCCCCACCTCTGTGCTCGGCCAGTCAGACCTTCAGACCCAAACCAAGGTGCAACCGGCATACTTGCAAATCGGTGGCACGCTCAACCCTGTTCGCCGCAGGGAAAAGCTTGCACAGTGCTACTACTACCAAGGTCCAGGATCTCAAGCCACGCACTGCGATAGAGACACCCACCGAGAGACGCCCCACCCCTACAGCCAGGCGTGAAGCCGCCCACCGAGAGACGCCCCACCCCTACAGCCAGGCGTGGAGACGCCCACCAAGAAGATGCCCCACCCCTACACCTAGGCGTGAAGCCGCCCACCGAGAAGACGCCCCACCCCTACAGCTAGGCGTGAAGCCGCCCACCGAGAAGACGCCCCACCCCTACAGCCAGGCGTGAAGCCGCCCACCGAGAAGACGCCCCACCCCTACAGCCAGGCGTG